TGGCCAAAATGATGGTTCTGATTCTCCTAGAACTCCAAAATCCAGGCTAGGTATTCTAGAGAGAAATTCAAATGCCTCACTTGAAGACAGTGCAACCTTGCAGAGGTTGTTGATATGTATTTTACTTATTACTCTCTTGGAGTGCTTTCTTAATCCGTGATGAATAATTTTGCAATTTCTTGTCTGGTTTTGGATCATGGTTGAAATTAACTACTCAACATGTGTTTGACTGACAGCTCAAATTTTCTGGATTCATCCCAAATTCAAATATTACATGAGCTTTTTTTTTTTTTCCTTCTTATATGTGAAATTTCCCTTAAAGTTTCATTCATAATGACATTATTCTGTATCGCCAAACTCCTTTTCAAGTTGTTCAGCTTGATTACCCCAAATTCCATTTCCTTTTCAAAGGTTTCCCTTGAAATTTGATTTTATTGTAGGCCTGTTGATCCAGAACTGTTAACATGCCTGGTGTTGAAAAAGCTTATCTTCTGGCTGATGATGCAGGCAAAGGCTGCAATGCAAGCGGGATTGAGAAAAGGAAATGCAAAAGAAAGGTCTGCATTGGGCATGATTGGTATTTCTGCTCGGGAAAGTCAAAGAGGAGATGAAATGGCTAACAGCTCTGATTCTTCCAGGTAAATACAATTACAGATTTGTTCATTTATTTCCATATTGCAGAATTTTATTTATTATCAGAAAATAAAGTGGATAAAGGTTTTGGTTATTAGTCTCTCAATCAAAACAATTCTATCCCAGAGATTCACTTGAATATTTTGATCCTCAAAGAGCATTTCTAGTGCAGGAGCCGATACCGAAACATTGATTTTGGCGAGATTTAAAATCTCACTATGATGAATTTGATTGTTAAGAACACCGCTTAGGTTAGCAAGATCTAAGATACACAGATAAAATTGAGAGAATCCACTCCCAAGAAACTCACTCAAAACAGACGAGAATTGACATTTGATTAACTGATAAAACTTGTGCATACAACGGAGGGAACATGGCTATTTATAGGCAAAATCTAACTAAGGTAATAGCTGTAAAGCAAAAAACAGTTGAGAGTTAGCCATTTTCGTGGACTTGGTTGGCCACTTTTAACAAAGTTGCACCGGCTTATTGTGGTTGGTGGTGCTGCAGAGTAGTTTCTGCATGCTTGCTGTAATTTCTTGGTACTTTCTCCGGTGCAATTTCCAAGATCACGTCAAGCAAGCCACGATGATGAAAGGGCAAAGATAGCATCATCATCTGCACCACTGTCATTGTTGCTTATTCCTTCCTTAACAGAGGTCTGCACAAAACGGTGTTATATTTTTTAGTTTCACTATCACCATGCTATTTAGTGTAGAGATGATTTTGACATTTTTTTGCACTAAAAGTATCATTTGTTTCCAGGCATTGTATGAATCTGCTTCTACTCATGATAGAGAAATCTATGGTATTCAATGCATAGAACTTAACATTGGTCTATATTCTTATCCATCCAGATTAGTATATTTTTATAGTACGAGAAAGACTGCTCAATGTAATGATGGCAGTACATAGTAGCCAAGAACATTATCTGAAAGGGTTTCAACATCTCCAGTGTGGATCTAGCCTTGTACTGAGAGAAGAGTGACATGTTAAAGTAGCACAAAACGAGGGGAAGTCCGAAATAAGAGTTGCAAAAATTATTGTAATTGAAGTTATTGCCTGCGCTCAACATGAAGTGGAACTATGCAAGTGTTCATGTTGTCATTTAGTTCAGATTAAGACTCAGTTTAGATGAACACTGCTTGCGTCCATTTTATTTTTAACCTCATCTGCTAATGACCCCAAGGCATGCATTACTCTTTGTAATCCGTAACTCTTAATGGTTTCAGTATATCATGTTGTCACTGTAGGCCCTTGCTGATGAGTCGAAAGGGTTAGTTGTGCGTGCAGTTACAAATTCTCTTGTGAATATGGAGAATAAAAACCCTGGATCTAGTGAACCTCTTGTTTGCAAGTTGCTTGAGAGATTGGCAAGGTTAGAAACTTTTCAGTAGCCCAAAAAAGAAAGAATTCATTCACTTTCTTTTTTCATCTCAAGTCAACGAAACTCAAGCTGGATAAGTTTGTGCAGTTCAAAAG